GTTCAAGGCTTCGCATCTGTAAACAGGAAATAGGGAAGCAAAGAAGGCAAAGCCAGACGTGGTGGCACATCTGGTAATCGAAGCACTCAAGAGGCCGAGGCAGGTGTATCACACTAAGTTTGAAGACGATGGACTGCCGTGAGTTCAAGGCAAGTTATGTATAGCTGGGACCCTATCTGGGAAAAGCGAACAAACAAACAAAATCCCAAGGACTCAGGAGGCAAAGATTGAAAATTGTCTCGAATAAAAAGCAATAAATGAGCTTGTTTGCTTACTTCACAAAAAGGGGGGGGCTGGAGAGGTGGCTCAGCAGTTAAGAGGACTTAACTGCTTTTGCATAGGACCTGGGTTCGATTCCCATCACCCACATGGCAGCTAACAACCGTTTGTAACTTCAGTTCCCGGGAAGTCCGAGGTCTTCTGTTCTCGTCTGGCACTGCATGAGGGAGGGGGGGGTGGTGCATTTACTTACAAAATACTCAAATACCCCTTAAAAAATGATTTTAAAAACAGCTCAGATTTAGAACCACAATTTAGTGCTCTGGTTGCTGCCATCTTTAACAATTTGCTATGGAATTCCTACATCACAACACCTTAATGGGCTATCTTTCTTCCTTCATATCCCAGTTCCCAACAAAATTCTTGAAGAAGACAGTATCTATTCCCGGTTCCCTAACGAGGTGCTTTTTTGAGTGAGAAGCTTCTTAGAATGTTGTGCTCTCAGAATAGCAATCTATGAGGAGAATATTCTCAGCACTGTGAACATGCATGAGCTCCATCAGGTTCTCTAAACCTGTGCAGCTTGGGAAGCCCTAGGGATCCTGAACATCCTTTCATGGATGAGTGTTTTGCCGGCATATATGTAAGTGCACCCATGTTGTGCTGTGCCCTCGGAAGTCAAAAGAGGGCGCCAGATCCCCTGTACTGAGAGTTTCAGATAGTTGTTAGTAGCCATATGGGTACTGAGAGTCAAACCTGGATCCTCTGCAAGAGTGGCAAGTGCTCTTAACCGCGGAGCCATCTCTCCAGTCCCCTCAAAACTATTTTTTAAATAATACAGAAAGTTTTTAAATTTTTATTTATTTTTATTTTGTGTGTATGCGTGTATTGACTGCACATAGGTAAGTGCACCCATGTCATGCAATGCCCGCGGAGGTCAGAAGAGGCTGTCAGATGGATCCCCTGGGACTGGAGTTAAGGACAGTTGTTAGCTGCCATGTGGGTACTGGGATTCGAACCCGGATCTTCTGCAAGAACAACCAGTGTTCTTATCCACTGAGCCAAAGTATCTGGGTGAGGTGGCACATGCCTTATCCAAGCACTTGAGAGGCACAGGCAGGTAGATCTCTATGAGATTGAAGCCAGCCTGGTCTACATAAGTAGTTCAAGGCCATCTGGGGCTGTAGGGAGATCGTCTCTAAAAATAAAATAAATAAAACAATGAAAGTGATCTGCCTTTGTGGTTGTAATGCCATTTGCACTGATAATTAAAAGTAAGAGTGAAAATGAGGCAAGCAAAATGGTTTAGTGGGTAAAGGCCCTTGAGGCCAAGTCTTCCAACTTGAGTTCCATCCCCACATCCCCAAGACTCACATGGTGGAGGGAGAGAACAGGTTCTTGCAAGTTGTCCTTTGACCCCCACACCCGCACTGTGGCATATGCACACACATGTACACAGAGAGACATGTATTTTTTTTAAGGGGGAGGAAGCTGGTGAAATGACTCAGCTAAGTGAAGGCACCAGTCACCTACCCTGACAATCTGGGTTCTATCTCTGGGACCAACATGGTGGAAGGAGAGAACCGACTCCCAGAAGTTGTTCTCTGACCTGTCTGAGCGCTGGGGCATGTTTACTCCCAGATACATAACACGCACACACACATGCACATAAATGAAAATTAAAACTTGAAGTTGGGCATGGTGGCGCATGCCTTTAATCCCAGCTCTCACGAGGCAGAGGCAGGCGGATCTCTGAGTTCAAGGCCAACTTGATCCACATAGTGAGTTCCAGGACAGCTGGGGAGACCCTGTCTCAAAAAGACCAAAAAGAAGGGGTGGGGGACAGCTGGAGAGATGGCTTAGCAGTCAAGAGCACTGGCTGCTCTTGCAGAAGACCTGGGTTCCATTTCCAGCACCCACATGGTGGCTAACAAACATTCCTAACTCCAGTTCCAGGGGATCTGACACCCTCTTCTGACCTCTATGGGCACTGCAAGCCACTGGTGCACTTACATACATGCAGGCAATACCCTCATACACATGAAATAAAAAATATCTTTAAAAATAAAAAAAATATAAAAAACTAGGCATGGTGGCCCACTCCTTTAATTTTAGGAAGCAGGGGCAGGAGCAATCTATGAGTTTGAGGTCAGCCTAGTCTACATAGGGAGTTCCAGGCCAGCCAGGTCTACACAGCGAGACTCTGTTTCAAAAAGCAAAACAAAACAACAAAAACAAGCAAACAAACCCAAAACTCAGTATATATTTTGTTTTAAAAGATTTTTTAGGGGCTGGAGAGATGGTTCAACAAACAAGAAAATACACCTGAACTACAAATAAATTTCTCTGGACTCTCCCCACTGTTCATTCTCTAATCAGAGCATTCTTTGTGCTGAGAGAGTTATACCCTGCCACTAAACTACCACTCTATAACCTCCCATCTTTTCTTTCTCTCCCTAGTTGTTTTGTTGTCATTGAGACAGGGTCTCATTCTGTAACCCAGGCTTTCCTTCAGTTTTGCAATGACCTTGCCTTAGCCTCTCCAGTGCCTTGATGACAGCCATGTGCCACAATACCTAACTCTGCATCTTACACACCTTAATCAAACATCAACATCAGCACTACTTAGAAGAGCAAGACAGCATCTCTGTGCTTACAGAGCACATGCTAGGTTTATTCTCCTTTGAGCTTCTCTACATACACAAAGCAGGCATCACTATTCCCACTCCAGATACCACCCAGAGGCCAATTTGACTTAAGTCAGACCCAGTACTATGGCTAGCTCCCAGCCAGCTGTCTCCTCAGCGCTCTTATCCTTCAGCAGGCTTCAGGACACTTGTCCCCACCAGCCTTGCTTTTCCTACAAAAAAAATTCCAATATTAAATTCAGGCTTCAGGGCAATCTAGGCTACATAAATGCACTCCCTAAGGGCTAGAGAGAGAACTCAGCAGTTAAGGGCATTTGCTGCTCTAACAGAGAACCAGAGTTCCCAGAACCCAGAGGCGGCTAGCAACTGTCTGTAACTCCAGTTCCAAGGAATCTGACACCCTCTTCTGGCCTCCATGGGCACTGGATATATGTGGTGCATTTACAAAGAGGTGAAACACACATACAAAATTTTAGATTAAGTGTACTCCCTAAATTCTCTTTATTGTGTATGTGTACGCACGGTAAGAGGGGTAGGGCTCATATGGCACACAGCACCTGTGGAGGTCAAAGGACAACTCTGAAGTTGGTTCTATCCTCTGCCTTTACATGGGTTCCTCAGACTGAACTGTGTTAGGCTTGTCTAGCAGGTGGCTTTATGCATTAAGTCATCTCACCTGCCCTAAATTATCTTTTATAAAAAATATTATTTTTATTTTATGTGTATGCGTGTATTGCCTGCATGTAGGTAAGTGCATCCGTGTCGTGCAACACCCAAGGAGGACAGAAGAGGCTGTCAGATCCCCTGGAACTAGAGTTACAGACAGTTGTTAGCTGCCATGTGGGTGCTGGGATTCGAACCCGGACCTTCTGCAAGAACCAGTGTTCTTAACTGCTGAGCCATCTCTCCAGCCCCCTAAATTATCTTTTTAAAGGAGTTCAAGGCCAGGCATGATGCAGGCCTTTAATCCCAGCACCCCAGAGGCAGAGGCAGGAGGATATCTGTGAGTTACAGGCCAGCTGGTGCTACAAGGAGACCCTGTCTCAAAAAGACCAAAAAAAAAAAAAAAAAAAGGGACTCCAAATAATATTCCATAGGATTTATATTAACTTTAAAAGTTAGCTTATGCTGCGATTACGGCCTGGGGTAAGTGTGTTGGAAAATGAAATAGAATGCAAGAAAATTAAGAATCTTGCTGAGCTTGGTGGCACACACTTTTAATTTCAGCACTTGAGAGGCAGAGGCAGGCAGATCTCTGTGAGTTCCAGGCCAGCTGGAACTACAGAGAGACCCTGTCTCAAAAAAAAACTAATTGCCTCCAGGCTGGAGATGGCTCAGCAGTTAAGAGCTTGCTGCACAAGCATAAGGAACTGAGTTCCATCCTCAGTACCCAAGTAAAAAGTCAGGTCTGGTATAACACACCTGTAATCTCAGCAGATCCCTGGGGTTTGCTGGCCTGCTCACTTGACCAAATTGATGGCGGTAGATTATAGGGAGTATTTATAAAAGGAGATAATCATCCCTTTTTCCCTTAAATTTATATAAATAATTCCAGCTTTCATGCAACTTGAACTTTCCCAAAAAATTATACACTGACAACTATGTCCTATACTACTCTAGAAAACCCATCCAGACTTGCACACAAAAGCAAAATGACAGAGGGCCCTCCCACCAACCACAAGTTCAGTTTTGGCCACTCTGCTAGCAGAGCCACAATTTGTCCCCTTATTTAGAAAACACTTGGCTTTACCTGCTTCCTTCAGTGGTAAATTTCCTTTAAGTGACACCAAAGACAAGGAGGGTGAACCAAAGCACCCGCGTGGTAGTTCTGCTTGACCTAGGCATAAGGCTTAAGACCAAGGAAGAGAACCAAGTGAAGAACCCTGGGTATGTATTAGCCAAGCCAGGTAGCCTGCCAAAATGGGGCACTTTCATGCTTCTTTTCAGCTTCTAGGGAAACAAGCCCCTTCTTGTGCATGAACCTAGGATGCGTATTTACCATGCTCAACATCTGTGTTTTCAGGACATTCACAATCCTGCCTACAGAATGTTTTATTCCATAAAAGATTCAGGTAAGCTACAGAAAAGTACAAAGCAGACATAGACCACAGGAGCAAACACAAACCAGAGGGCCAAAATAAGACTGGTACATTTTATTGTGATACAGAAAACATACCTCAATCTTTAAAACTAAAATCAACCATAACAACAAAAGCAAGGGGCAGCAACAATGAACATCATGGGTGACAGACCCTGTAGTGAGGAAGACAGGCTGAGCTTTCCTGCCATCCAAACTTGACCAGTTCCTCGTTTGTACTACAGAAGTGTGCCCTGGAAACGATTTCTATTTAGCTCTCCACAGCGAGGCCTGAATCCTTGATGATGCCCTCCACTATGTGCATTAAGTTTTCCTGAGTCCATGTGTGTATAGCTTAGATGTTATCCTGGCCAACTTTTTCTGTAGCAGAGGTGCAGGAGGTAAGCAATGAGGTCAGTGGAACAGCTTGGCAGCTCAAGGAAGAGAGGGGAAAGCTTGTGGGGCACAGTGCAGAAGACCCTAAATAAACTCCTCTGGTGAAGAGGCCCCGATGCAGAGAGGTGCAGACCTGACTTCCCAGCACAGCTAATCATGCTGCACTCAGAGTGGCTCTGGGATCAGTCTTTGCCAGGCCAATTCATAACAATGGTCTCAGTTATGGGGGATATTAACTGCAAAAGAACTGCCAGAAATGTTCTGGGGCATGTCCACTGAGCTCCATGTAGCAAAGGCCCCTAATTGGGCCCAGCACCCCCTCTGAGTTTCAATTGGGGTATGACTGCCCAGATAAGAGGCTCTATGTCCCAGCCTCCCTTTCAGTAAAGTGTGGCCACAGTGATCTGAGCAGCGTCTTCGAAAAGTAACTGCACGTCTCCACTTTTCCTCAGTGAACCATGGCCATGGAGCCAATGAGTGTGTTTGAGCCCATCTATGGGTAAGGACAGCATGCCTGGGGTGACTGAACAAGATGTAGGAAGCCTGGTTCCTGGTGACCCTGTAGAGTTAAATCTGCCCTGGGCCACCCGATAACCTCTGACCTATTATGTAAGAGAAAAATAAATTGTCCAATAAGAGTCCCTGTGCTTTTGGCTCTGTTAAGTAGTGTAGCCTGTGGGTTCACATAATTCAAAACAGCAAAAATGTCAGAAAGAGAGTTCCAAATATGCAATAACACCCTAAGAGTGTCGGTTCATGAATCACTTTGGCCAAGGGGTCAAAAAATAAGAGCTATTCAGTTGTGCCACCCCCCCCCCCCATCTCCAGGAGATGGCCAGCCACCTCATGCAGAAGAGGGGCTCAGTACAGCACAACCAGAGTCCAGTGTGGTCATAGGAGCTGGGGACGCACCATGTTTCCCCTCTAGTGCTGGCAGGGACACACCTGTCCTACCTTTTCCCTACAGCAAGAAAGGTCCAAGCTTCTCCATTCTTCACAATTACAATTCTTGAGGACAAGCCAAATCCAGTTAAGGCATGGAGCAAAACAGCTGTTACAGGGGTCAGAGGAGGGAAGTCCTGAGCCCCAGGGTCCCGAGTGTAGCATCTGCTCCTCCCTGGCAAGACCCTGATGACAGTCCGGCTGGCAGCTGCCAGTCACTAACGGATCCCAGCCACTGGCACTTGCTGCTGCTTGCGGATCTTGTTGAAGAGTTCCATGTACTGTACCATGGTATCTGCTGGCCCGTAGACGGCATCATGTCTGTTCCCAAACACTGCAGGAGCCCCTGGAGTGTGGCTGCCTAGAAAACTCTGTAGGAACTCAAGCAGCAGGCTCCAGCAGTCACTAGCCACCACACAGGGGCAGTACTCTACCTGGGACACAACAGACATCAGGGTGAGTGAGGACAAGGACAAGGCTTGCTTCTCTCACATCTCCTGAGCCAAGGATACCCATCTTGTAGCAGCATTAGCCTGCAGGAAATACTCAACCCAACACCAGGCACTGGACGCACCACCATCGTTCCTGCTGGGTCCCTCTGACATCTTCATACCGGATTGTACCAACCCCCTGCCCACCCACAGGCCTCAGGTACAGATGTAGGCCACTTTTTTTTTTTTTTTTTTTTTTTGGTCTTTTTAAGACAGAGTCTCCCTGTAGCCCCAGCTGTCCTGGAACTCACTATGTAGACCAGGCTGGTCTTGAACTCAGAGATCCACCTGCCTCTGCCTCCTGAGTGCTGGGATTAAAGGTGTGTGCCACTACGCCGGGCCAGTGGGCCACTTTTGATTATCCCATGACCATGCAGTCCCTGCTAGAATGGGTGACAATTCAAGAGTACTCAGGAAAATCCAGAGATACAACAACAAAAGGAAGAAAATATGAAGGGTAGATGGGAGAGGACAGTCAACATATACGTCTGCATGTCTCTTCAGGGCCAAATCTAACTCCCAAGATAGACCCTGCCTTGGCTCTGACTGCAAGAATTTCCCAACCCGTGTAGCAAGGATCAAGAGATACCAATCTGAGTTTTCTCATGATTTTTCACTAGAGAGGCCAAGGGGAAGCACCAATAACTACCAGGAATGTAAGACAACAACTGGGTGTGTGGACAACAAGGGTAGAAATGGGAAGGGTTCCCCCCAGGGGGCTCAACAAATCAAGGTTACAAACTGAAAGTTAGGACATCTTGACCATGGAGGTTCTTGAGCAGAAACCACCACTCAGGCCCTTCTCTCCACCTGGGATGCTCCCCAGACTTACCTCTCTTCAGGTCTCTACTTGTGACAAGAGCTTACTGTGCAGCTCAAGCTGGTCTTGAACTTAAAATGTGGCCAAGCTGGCCTCAAATTGACAGTCCTCCCCCTCCTACCTCCCAAGCACTAAGGCAATAGGTATGCACCACTATACCCGGCTCAGGACTCCATAGCTTATATTTTAAGTCCCCACCAAACACTGCTCTATAGGCCAGCACAAACAGACAGCAGGGCTCTCAAGAGCCCAAATTCCCAGAGCCAAGTGCCTCTCTTAGGTTATCTCCAACTAACTTCAAAAACAGCTTTGCTTGCTTACTAAATGACAGCTTTTCAAAAGACAGGCACTGCAAGCTTATGTCTTGCTTTATTATTATCTTCATTTCAGTTAATGCTGGACACATGGTGGATTGTGGACTTAGGCTCCTCCCAAAGCTAGCTACCACCACATACCCTATATGCCATTTTCAATACACACATATTTAGGATCAAAGATGAAGGCATCTCTAGGGCCAGTGAGATGGCTCAGTGGATAAAGACACTGGCTGCCAAGCCTGATGACCTAAGTTTAATCCCTAGGACCTATATTGTAGGCGAGAACTGACTCTTCTGACCCCACAACATGTTCCAGGGTACATTCTCTCTCTCTCTCTCTCTCTCTCTCTCTCTCTCTCTCTCTCTCTTCTCTCTCTCTCTCTTCTCTCTCTCTCTCTTCTCTCATAAAATAAATGGATGTAATAAAATTTTTAATTAGCCACACATGGTGGCGTATACCTTTAATCCCAGCACTTGGGAGGTAGAGGCAGGGACTGCATGGTCATGGGATAATCAAAAGTGGCCCACGAGCCCAAGGCCTTACCTCCACAGAGATGCCTCGGGCACTGGGTCCCATTGTGACTGTGCCCACCTTCACCAGGAAGTCACAGTACTGGTAACGGGTGCCCCGGGTCTCAATCTTGCTGGCCTTGGCACTCTGGAAAAAGCCCTTGAGCTTCACCATGAGCACATCGAAGTTGGTGTCAGCAATCAGACAAGGGCCATTCTCAAAGAGGGCGAAACAGCTCAGTGGGTACTCAGAGTTATGCATCACGTACATCAGCTTCCCAGCCTGACCTGCAAGGGACAGACGTCCTACTGATCATCAGGACTTTTGTCAATGTACTCCAGTAGAGAAGAAAGTGCAAACGAAGTCAGTTATCAGTTTGGTGCTTCCCAGAAGTCTGAGAAGGGGTCCCCTAAATGATACCCTTTTCCAGAGAACGGAGAGCAACAGCAGGCCAGACACCAGGCCAAGCCACACACTATGGAAAGAACCGAAGAGCATCCAGAAGTCTCAAGGTCTTCATAGCAGTTATGTGCTACTTTACTATGGTGACTAATAACCCACACAGACATATAATCTCTTAAATATGTAACAATTGAAACTAAGGCTGGTGATGTAACACAGCCACAGGCACTTGCCTAGCATGTGAAAAAGGTCTGAGTCTGAGGACCAACACCTCAAATATAAAAGCAAAAGAGAAGCAACAGCATTTGGCGTGTCTCTGTACCTTGGCTAGTACCTCCTTTGACAGCCAAATGGTCTCAAAGAAAGAAGCATTTGGAATATGGCCTGTGACCATGAGGCTGGAACGGTAGGGCAGAAACAAGCTGAACTACGACTTTTCTGCCTTAAGAAGCTGGAACCTCTTGAAGTCAAGAGCAAATGTTTGGAAACTTTAAGAAGTCTAGCTGACCTGGGAAGCAAGCAGCATACTATAAACTATAAAGCGAAAAACTCGGGCTCTAGAATCTGAAGATCTACTTTCAAGCCCCAGCTCTCCCATCCCCTTCTCTGAGAAATGAGTGTACTTGTTGATTGTCGTTGTTTTATTTTGTTTGGTTTTTAAGATTTATTGTTTCCTCCCCCTTCCTCCCTCTCTCTTTTTCTTCTCTTTGGTTTTTAAGATACATTATTTCCTCTCTCTCTCTCTCTCTCTCTCTCTCTCTCTCTCTCTCTCTCCCCCTTCTCTGAGTGTACTTGTTGATTGTCGTTGTTTTATTTTGTTTGGTTTTTAAGATTTATTGTTTCCTCCCCCTTCCTCCCTCTCTCTTTTTCTTCTCTTTGGTTTTTAAGATACATTATTTCCTCTTTCCTCTC